GCGCGAACTAATTTAGTGTTAAACGTTATTTAGTTAGTGTATACTGTATATTTATAAGTGATCGAAGGACACAGTCGTCTGCTACAAAAGAAGCCCTAACTAATGTTTTAAATGTAAATAAAATATAGATACAAAAGTGTATATAATAGTGTTTATAAATAGTTGAATTTGTATATACAATCAATAACTTTTAAATACACCTTTAATTGATTTATAATTTATATTAAGGTTAAAATAACGTTTACATCAATTATAATAAAAAATGATGTACACGCCTTAAAAATATTTTTAGGGTTATAGAAAGTCGTAAGCCTGAAAAGTATGAAAGAGCGTTCATTGATTTTTTTTCTATCACTTAATTTTATTTTAATCTAAAATGCGACTTATTATGAAACAATATTCTTATAAAGCATGCGGTCTATCCAATGAACGACATAATGTAGCGTGCTCCGAGATATAGTTTTTATAAATAGCGCGCTATAACATAGCGTATTTAAAAGCGCGCTAGAAATTTCTAGTTTATAGTCTGTAGCGTGCTATTGATTTACAGTCGTTTTGAACAACTTTAGTTCTGCGATGTCTAACGCATGCAACTTGCAAAGGCCATTCGTCGGGAATCTCGACGCTTGGCTCGGAAGTAACAGCAAATAAACCTAAAATACGATCTCTAACAGAAATGTGATCGTATTCTACTTAGTTAAAAATCTTGTTAGTAAACAAAATTTTAATTTCAGTATTTTGTGTTATCCTCATGTCCTCTTTCTCTATTGAAATTAGGATGTTTGTTATTATAACTTAAAATATTTTAATTACAAAAGACAAGTATAGGTATGCAAGTAGATACTTGTATAGTGAAGTAAATTTCAACTATTTTATTCTACAATTACATATACTAAACACTAAACAAAAACTATTTCAACAAGTATTTACAAAAAACTATTTACGTAAACAGCGTTAAAAAACTTTAACATTCAATCGCCTACAACGCGCTAGTCCCGACTGCGTATGTTACCCTGGGTGCGTCGCGATTGTAGGTAATTATTTCACGCACGTAGCAAGAGTGACAGAGGGCTGCCTGTATGAAATGCTCGCTTCTTTGATGGAGAGAGGTTGTGTCGGCGTGTATAAATAGAAGCTGTTTTGGCTCGCCGATCACTTAGCTGTCAGCCGACGTAGAGTTTACATCACCTGATGATGCCTCGTGTAGAGGCAAAACACGTGTCGTATTATCGTCGATGGTGGGTTTTTCCTGGAATAGTGGTGTTGGGAGTAGTAGTGTTGGGACTAGTGGTGACGGGATTGATGCATGGAATTGAGGGAGGGCGGGAAGTGCTCTTCAATCCAGGTAAGACACATCATTATAATTAATTAAGCGTGGTTGCGCGGAAAACCATTCGTATTTATTTAATTTGACGGTAGGCTGCCAAATCGATTATCCCATTCCAAAATTATATCATTCATACCCTCCTATCGACACATCGGGGTGGTGGGGTGGGAGAGGAAAGAAGGTGATTCTAGAACATCACGTAATCATCGGAACCGAAGATATATAAGGCACGCGCGACCGACGCGCAGCCTCTTCCCGCCGCGCTCGTCATTGGAACCACACCACTAGTAGAACCGCTTTAGCCTGGAAGCAGTCGAGCTCCAGGAAACCCGCCTCACCTCGTGTGAGATATAGTCGCGCACCGCCTCTCTCCGGAGTGTTCCAGAAGAAGTTCCAGAAGTCGCAGCTATAGTGCTCGACCGAATAGAAGAAACCCCGGTGAGTCAATATTCCTAAATATATCCTGCTTGATATAGCTGTGTTTTAACCTGCTCCAATTTTGTTTTCTCCTAATCAAGCAGGATTTCTTTCATCGATTTGGCAAATAATAGTTCGTTTAAGGGAAGAGCGAGTGCATTGTACCGCATGCTATAGTCGCCGTTTATATAAGTGTAGAAACATTTAGTAGATACAGTCCACTTAGATTAATAGCTCGCCTAATAGGTTTAAGGTTCGACCGGGGAATTAGACTTCGGCGACCTTAGGCTCGACGCTCCACCATTTTATGGTCACTTCGGCAGGATTTGGACTGGTGTTTAGTAGTCGTTCAACCATTTTCTGGTCGAATTATTAGAGTAATTATTTAGATAATGCACTCTAGTTTATGGAATAGTCTTAGTGTTCGTGGTTGCGCGGAAAACCATTCGTATTTATTTTATTTGACGGTAGGCTGCCAAATCGGTTATCCCATTCCAAAAACGATATCATTCATACCCTCCTATCGACACATCGGGGTGGTGGGGTGGGAGGGGAAAGAAGATGATTCTAGAACATCACGTAATCATCGGAACCGAGGATATAAAGGGCACGCGCGACCGACGCGCGCTCTCTTCCCGCCGCGCTCGTCATTAGAACCACATCACTAGTAGAAACCGCTTTAGCCTGGAAGCAATCGAGCTCCAGGGAACCCGCCTCACCTCGTGTGAGATATAGTCGCGCATCGCCCCTCTCCGGAGTGTTCCAGAAGTCGCAGTTATAGTGCTCGACCGCATAGAAGAAACATCCCGGTGAGTCAACATTTTCCTATTAGTATAGCCTGCTTGATATAATTGTTTTAACCCGCTCCAATTTTGTGTTTTCCTAATCAAGCAGGATTCCTTTCATCGATTTGGCAAATAATTGTTCGTTTTTAGGGAAGAGCGAGTGCATTGTACCGCATGCTATAGTCGCCGTTTATATAAGTGTAGAAACATTTAGTAGATACAGTCCACTTAGATTAATAGCTCGCCTAATAGGTTTAAGGTTCGACCGGGGAATTAGACTTCGGCGACCTTAGGCTCGACGCTCCACCATTTTATGGTCACTTCGGCAGGATTTGGACTGGTGTTTAGTAGTCGTTCAACCATTTTCTGGTCGAATTATTAGAGTAATTATTTAGATAATGCACTCTAGTTTATGGAATAGTCTTAAATAGTGTTCGTGGTTGCGCGGAAAACCATTCGTATTTATTTTATTTGACGGTAGGCTGCCAAATCGGTTATCCCATTCCAAAAACGATATCATTCATACCCTCCTATCGACACATCGGGGTGGTGGGGTGGGAGGGGAAAGAAGATGATTCTAGAACATCACGTAATCATCGGAACCGAGGATATAAAGGGCACGCGCGACCGACGCGCGCTCTCTTCCCGCCGCGCTCGTCATTAGAACCACATCACTAGTAGAAACCGCTTTAGCCTGGAAGCAATCGAGCTCCAGGGAACCCGCCTCACCTCGTGTGAGATATAGTCGCGCATCGCCCCTCTCCGGAGTGTTCCAGAAGAAGTTCCAGAAGTCGCAGTTATAGTGCTCGACCGCATAGAAGAAACATCCCGGTGAGTCAACATTTTCCTATTAGTATAGCCTGCTTGATATAATTGTTTTAACCCGCTCCAATTTTGTGTTTTCCTAATCAAGCAGGATTCCTTTCATCGATTTGGCAAATAATTGTTCGTTTTTAGGGAAGAGCGAGTGCATTGTACCGCATCTATATAAGTGTAGAAGCATTTGTAGATACAGTCCACTTAGATTAACATCTCGCGTAATAGGTTTAAGGTTCGACCGGGGAATTAGACTTCGGCGACCTTAGACACGTGGCTCCACCAGTTCGTTTAAATTTAAATTTTGGTTAGGTACTCGCAAAAGAATTATTAATTTAAATAGTGTTTGTATTTGGTTTAAAGAATCATGCCCACTTTCCATACATTGATTGACCTGTCACTTGATTCCTTAAAAATGTCGCGTCTACGTACAACTACTGTTGTAAAATACAATTATTGTTTATAATAATATAATAACTTATCATCTTTTCATTTAGAGGCCAGGAAAAAATGATATTAGGTAAATAAAATTTTGAGGTTATAACAGCTGTTAGATAAGGTCTGTACACTTATTTTTCTTTCCACACCATAGTATAAAACTATTGAAAATCGTATGTAATCATAAATTAATATCGTAAATTAATAAGTTATAAAAAAAGAAATTGGTTATTTTGAACATTCATAAACCATATGATGAATGAACTAGTTTTTCGTAGTCTGAAACGGAACGCGAAAAACACGTTTTTAATATATTTTGGCATTGGCTTCTGTGCCTTTGAGCAGTGCATTGTAAAGCACGTTTTGTTTCCAAAAGTCTATTGAGAATGATAAATAAAGTAACATTACTTTTTTTCCTGGCTTTATTTGAAAATTCAATTATGAGATACGAAATAAGAAAAAAATATGCAATTTTATTAAGATATTTTACATCACTAGACGCGTTAGAATTAATTTTCAGGGCAATAGTGGACATGATTCTTTAAAGCTTATTAGTCGCTTAAATAATTGAAACAGTGTAATAGCAATCGTTTTGTACGCTTACCCGACAATTTTGATAAAAATATTGAGTCACCTCGACTCGCTGTAACAGGTGTTCTATTTAATTACGTAATACGGCATACGAGTGTCCATCCTTCATTATTTGTGCGTTGTGAGATTAATTGTGATTAATATAACTTTATTACAATAATTTAAAATGGCAATTAGTGGAAATGAAATTAAAATTAAAACGCTTTATGCCAAGAGGGACATACTTTTTTCACGTATACAAAGTATTAGTGATCACATAAAGAACATCAATGTAGAAGCAGTGCGGGAAACTTTTTTGAATGAAATTGAAACGGTAGATTCTTTGCGGACGGATTACGAAAGAATATTAGACCAAATTAATCATTTGGAATTACAAATCGACCCGAAATACATAGTGAACTACCAACCGCTTCTAGCATTTGAAGATATGTTGTGTCGCGTGAAAAGAACGGAGAAACTCTTACAATCTCAAAACGAAGCAAAGCCGGAAATACAGGTACGTCCACGTGACTCAATTAAGTTGCCGCCAATAGATATTCCGGTATTCAATGGTGATATTAAGACATGGCCCTTCTTCTTCAGTAGTTTTCAAAACAATCAATTTGCACAGTCAATTTGTTCTGGTTTTACACCTACAGCAAACAATTACTTGTTAATATTCGAAACGCTTAAAACTAAATATGAAGATAGGAGAATGTTAGCTTCCGAATATTTGAACCAAATATTCGATCTTAAACCTATATTATCCGCGAACATCAACGGCTTAGAGCAGTTTTTAGATAAATTTGTGGCATCGGTGGCTGCACTTAAGAATTTGAAATTTAATGACCTAATGAATATGGACGTGGTGTTTCTCCATATTGCACTAAAGAAATTAGACCCCGACACCGTGCGTGCGTTTGAAATGGAGCATCGTAGCTCGGAGATGCCTTCCTTTCATTCATTAGCATCGTTCGTGCGAGATCAAATAAAGGTGATGCAGCGCTCTCCGAACGTTAAACAGGAGATTAAAAGGTGCGTCGACCGTAGACAGACTCAACCATCTAAAATAGGGTCGTTAACTTACATAACCGCGACGTCAACATCACTTCAGCTACTTGTATCGTATGTAAAGATAAACACGGTAATTTATATAATTGTGCGACTTTTCGTAAATATTCACCAAGCGAACGTTATAAATTAGTAAAGACAAACAACCTATGTCTGAACTGCTTAAGTGATAAGCATTTAGTTGCAAAATGCAATTCGAGTTCCGTATGTAGCAAGAGCGCCAGGAAACATCACACGCTATTACATTTTGAAAATAGCAACATAGCAGCGTCAAGTAAAGCGGATAAGGAATTCACCCCTACTAAAGTCAACGATTCTAGCGGTCGACCTGGTGATGTCGCTCTGTGCTCATTGGCAAATATGGGAGCACAACCTCCTTCAACCGTGTTACTGGGTACGGCGCGTATTTTGGTTAGGGATTCGCGTGAAAACGAACAAAGCGTCCGTGCACTGCTGGACAGCGGAGCCCAAAATAGCTTTATAACGCGACAATGTTGTAGCGCTTAGGCTTAGTAATAAATAGGTCACTTTCATGTCCTGTAGTCAAAGGCATCGGAGGTACTAGTAAAGCTACCCAGGGATATATAAATTTAAAATTTTATTCTCGGATAGATCGTAATGTTAACTTTGATATAAATGCACTAGTAGTGGATAGGGTCACTGAACGGTTGCCAACCGTTTCGGTTGACACCTCGGCAATGATTGAATTTAAAAATTTGACTCTAGCGGACGACACTTACGCCGTTCCTGGAAACATAGACATGCTCATTGGAGCATCGCTTTTCCCTCATCTTTTGTTAAACAATAAGGTCAGGGGCAACTCCTCGCATACCGCGCCTTACGCACTGGAAACCGTATCGGGCTATGTTATCGTTGGCTCCGCCCCCATCATAGATAGTATTTCGGCAACCTCTTATTGTGGTATGGCTGTCGAACCGCTCGAGTCGTTAGTCCGCAAATTTTGGGAGATGGAGGAGGTGAACGTCCCACCCATAGCTAGCTCAGATGACAGATTATGCGAGGAAATTTACGTCCGCACGACCGTTCGTGATCGCGACGGTAGATATAGTGTAGCGCTACCCTTTAAAGGAGATGTTTTATCTCTCGGCGATTCCGCGTCAAATGGCGGAAAAACGTTTCTACAGCTTGGAGCGTAGGATGCTCGCTTCACCCCAGTTAAAGGAAGCTTATGGCGGCGTCATTAACGAATATGTAAGAGAAGGTTACATATCACTCGTGGCTTCGAAATTAGATAACTACGAAGACACACCGTCGTATTTCATACCACACCACGGGGTCATTAGGGAGGACAAACTTACATCTAAGTTACGTGTAGTGCACGACGCTAGTGCTAAAACTAGCACTCACCTGTCGCTTAACGATATCCTCTATAGTGGGCAAAATTTACAGGGCAGTTTATTTAATATAATAGCCAATTTTCGTTTGTTTAGTATAGCACTATCCGCCGATATTCGCCAAATGTTTCTTTGCATAGGGGTCCGTGAATGCGACCGTAGATTCCAACGCATTTTATATCGTTTCAACCCAAAGGAACCTCTAATGGTGTTTGAATTTAACCGCGTTTGTTTTGGTTTAAAGTCGAGCCCATTTCATGCGTTACGCACGGTGAAACAGCTCGCCCACGATGAAGGTCCCTCTTACCCTAAAGCTAAGAGGGAAATTCAGAGCGGTTTATATATGGATGATTTTGTATTCTCGGTCGATAGCGTGGAGGAGGCTACCCTAACCACCGCCGAGGTTATAAAGCTCATGAAATCGGGTCAATTCGATCTTGTGAAGTGGACTAGTAATTCGCGTCCGGTTTTAGATACAATCCCACTATCACACCGTCTTTCGGCGATAAAGGAATTCGACGATTCTGATACACACAAGGTGCTCGGTCTGTGTTGGTCACCAGAGTCGGACATGTTTAGCCCTAAGGTAAATCCGCCCGTAGAGAAATGCACAAAGCGCACAATACTGTCATGCGTTGCTAGATTATGGGATGTCATGGGTTTCGTAGCTCCGGTGGTATTATACGCTAAGCTTTTGATTAAACAACTTTGGTTATTTGAATGCGATTGGGATGATTCGCCGCCTGACAGCATTGTTCGGTTGTGGCAGCATTTTAGAGAGGAACTTCCTTTACTAAGAGAAATTAAAATACCGCGTCATATAAACGTCGATAGAAATAGCGTCATAACGGTCGTTGGGTTTGCAGACGCCAGCGAGAAGGCTTACGGGGGCGTTGTATATTTCCACGTTCAGAATAATGGTAGAAATTCGATTAGCCTCATTAGTTCTAAGTCGAGAGTCTCCCCCCGTAAGGTTGTCTCTCTGGCGCGCTTAGAGCATTGCGCAATATTAGTACTCACCAAGCTTATTACCGCAGTTATCAGCGCATGTAGGGATATAGTTCACATAGAAAGGATATTTGCCTTTTCCGACTCCACCGTCGCCTTATGCTGGGTTCATTCTTCACCCCACCGTTGGGATACGTTTGTCGCGAACCGAGTGGCCAAGATCCAAGACGAGTTGGAAACGCGGAACTTTTATCACGTGTCCGGTACGGAAAACCCTGCCGATTGTCTATCCCGGGGACTCACCCCGATGCAAATAATGGACCACCCGCTTTGGTTCCACGGACCTTCTTGGGTTCACTTGGATCCCTCGCAATGGCCAATAACCGATTTCGAACCTTCGTCAGTGTCACAACCGCCGGAAGAGAAGAGACACGCTCTAGTGGCGAACGTTTCGAGCGAGGTTTCTCCAATCATTGCTTTGGCGAACCGCTTGTCCTCTTGGTCGAAATTATTGCGTAGCGTAATTTACGTTTGTCGATTCGCGAAGCTTTTACCGCGACGTTCGTATGTCTTAGCGTCCGATTACAACTATGCCGAGTCGCTAGTATTACGTGAACTTCAACGTGCACACTTCTCTGAAGAAATTACAAGATTACAATCGAATAGAGCTTGTAGTCGCGCCTTTCAACGCCTTAAGCCATTTTTACAGGATGGGATTGTAAGGGTAGGTGGACGCTTGTCCAACTCGCAGTTGAGTTTCGATCAACGGCACCCTATAGTTTTACCGCGCAAAGACCATATCATGAATTTATTAGTCGATTACCATCATAAATTGAATTCGCACGCTGGCCCCGACTTGCTGATGTCGATCTTGCGTCAGAATTATTGGATTCTTTCTGCACGTAGTTTAATCCGCAATCGGGTGCACAGATGTATAGCTTGCTTTCGGACACGCCCCAAGCAGTCATTTCCGGAAATGGCGGAACTTAGATCTTGTCGAGTAATACAATCAGTAAAGCCCTTTACGCACACCGGGTCTGATTTCGCTGGTCCGTTTAAGGTCACGCTCACTCGCGGGCGTGGTATAAGATCCACAAAGGCTTACGTCTGCATTTTCGTATGTCTAACTACTCGAGCGGTGCATATAGAACTCGTTGGTGATCTAAGCACAGCAGGCTTTATGGGTGCATTTAAAAGATTTCTATCCCGCCGTGGCCCTGTAAGTAAATTATATTCGGATAACGGTACGAACTACGTCGGTGCAAAACGTATTTTATCAGAACTACATGAGCTCTTAGCTAGCAAGTATTATAATTCGGAGTTCGCTCACATTCTAGCCGAGAACCGCATTGAGTGGTCTCTGAACGTCCCAGCCGCGAGTCATTTTGGGGGCAATTGGGAGACTAATATTAAGAGTCTAAAGAGTCACTTATACCGAGTAATAGGAGATCAAATTTTGTCCTTCGAAGAGCTAAGTACGGTGCTCGCTCAAATCGAATGCGTAATGAATAGCCGCCCACTTTGTCGTACGTTGTCTAGTGACCCCTCGGAACCGCTGGCTCTAACTCCAGCACATTTTTTAAATTTAACGCCTTTAAAGTATTTGCCCGCCGTAGATATGGATGAGAACAGATTTAGCATTTCCGCACGCCACAAATTATTAGACCGGTTAGTGCAATCGTTTTGGAAACGATGGAGGATGGAATACTTGCATACTTTGCAGTCTCGGCAAAAATGGAACACAGCAACTGAGCCTTTAGCTGTAGGAACTGTAGTTGTGCTCAGCAAAGAGAATACGCCGCCTCTCCACTGGCCGTTAGGAATTGTCGAAGAGGTCTTTCCCGGTTCCGACGGAGTAATTAGGGTAGCTCGCGTTAAGACCACGGTTGGGTCTTACCTGCGTCCTGTTGTCCGTTTGTGCCCCTTGCCTCTTCCATAATTTAAATTAGCTTTCTAGATTAGAAATTGTAGTCGAATTTAGGTAATCTTAGCGTTAGTTAGTTATTTTGTTAGTTTGATCTTAGCTCTTGTTGTTTTAGTTATTTTTTGAAGGAAATCCTTCAAGTGCGGGGGAGATGAACCATTCGTATTTATTTAATTTGACGGTAGGCTGCCAAATCGGTTATCCCATTCCAAAACGATATCATTCATACCCTCCTATCGACACATCGGGGTGGTGGGGTGGGAGGGGAAAGAAGATGATTCTAGAACATCACGTAATCATCGGAACCGAAGATATATAAGGCACGCGCGACCGACGCGCAGCCTCTTCCCGCCGCGCTCGTCATTGGAACCACACCACTAGTAGAACCGCTTTAGCCTGGAAGCAGTCGAGCTCCAGGAAACCCGCCTCACCTCGTGTGAGATATAGTTGCGCACCGCCTCTCTCCGGAGTGTTCCAGAAGAAGTTCCAGAAGTCGCAGCTATAGTGCTCAACCGAATAGAAGAAACCCCGGTGAGTCAATATTCCTAAATATATCCTGCTTGATATAGCTGTGTTTTAACCTGCTCCAATTTTATTTTCTCCTAATCAAGCAGGATTCCTTTCATCGATTTGGCAAATAATAGTTCGTTTAAGGGAAGAGTGAGTGCATTGTACCGCATGCTATAGTCGCCGTTTATATAAGTGTAGAAACATTTAGTAGATACAGTCCACTTAGATTAATAGCTCGCGTAATAGGTTTAAGGTTCGACCGGGGAATTAGACTTCGGCGACCTTAGGCTCGACGCTCCACCAAAGCGGATAGTTGCGAATTAAATATTGATATCTTTAAGTACAATTAACTTACACATTATAGATCTTTCACTTTAAATTATTGTATTATCATTCCTAATTAAACAATATAACTCTTCCAAATGCGAAACGATATTTCTAAAAATTTTTCTTTTTTATAGGATAGGGTGACAAACGAACACACAGTCCACCTGATTGTAAGTGGGTACTGTGGCCCATAGACTAGACATAAAATGCAAATGTGTTGTCACCCAAAAGGACTAAGATGAAATGTCTCATTTTCAGTAAAAAGGGTCTCCGGTTCTTTACACTCACCATATGAAACACACCAGAGTTGAGCTACTATTTTACGCTGGTATTCTGTGAAATCATAGTCCTTCCCCCGTCGTTCCGCCCCATTTATGCTACAACTATACTACTTATATAACTGCAGGATGGCGCTACCATGTATAATAAGCCTTTTTCAAATAATAAACAAACATTCCATGTACGCAATGCTGTGAAGGAAAACTTTGTGTAATGCTTTCTTATATTTACGCGAACACTACACATTGATTAAAACTACTTTTACGGATTTTATCGCGTTTATTTTACTTTTAATTACTTTTATTTTTAATTCCCGACGTTTCGGGAGCTTTCCAGCACCCATGGTCACGGGGGACTGAGATGACTGACATCCCAATGTCATTGTTAAACCCGGAGTACCTTCAGCTTTTTAATTATTGTTTATGGTCTGATCTATGCAAAATGAACTGACTATGTCCTAAGGTCTTACAGTGGTATGCTTGGGTTTAGTTTTATTTTTATTGATTATAGGATCCCAAGCAGGTGGTAGTAGTATCCAGCCTCCTTCTCTATTGAAATTAGGATGTTTGTTAATTTCAATAGCCTCACGTATCATCCTTGGTAGGAATCGGTGTTCTTCCGCGAGGATTTGTGGTCTATCAAATCTGATGTAATGGTTCGGGCCGCATAGTAAATTGAATTTTAGAATTTATGGAATTAAGAGGCAAATAATTCCTTACCTTTCCTAGATGTGTTAGTCATCTGAAATCCTAACAACACCATTGGTCACACTGTGTGTGGGAAGAAGACCCATACAAACTGATATTTAAACGGTGAATCTCACCACCATCCTTCACAGTTAGCTATCGTGGGCAAATTTTTGTTACAGAGAGCACGAGGGATCTATGACAGCAAACATCTGGCCGCCGAGCTTCAGCACGTTAAGCAAGTTCTGCACGACAAGCTTCGGGTCCCGCGCCTACGTTACAGTGATCGATTGAAGCCGGCCACAGTCGAGCATGTGCCTGCTGTACTACCATATGTCAGAGGTGTCACAGACAAGATTGGCTACATTTTGAAGCGAGCTTCTATTAGAACATTCTACAAGCCGCCGAAGAAGATTAGTCAGTTCCTACTATCCGTCAAGTGTCATATTCCTCTACAAGATGCAGGAGTGTACAAGCTTGATTGTGAATGTGCTCTCTTATATAGGACAAATAAAAAGATCAATTAGAACTCGCATAAAAGAACATATAGCTGATGTGAAGCATCAACATTCCGGGAAGTCTGCAGTTTGCGATCATATCCTAGACGGCCCCAACCATTACATCAGATTTGATAGACCACGAATCCTCGCGAAAGAACACCGATTCCTACCAAGGATGATACGTGAGGCTATTGAAATTAAAAAACATCCTAATTTCAATAGAGAAGGAGGCTTGGTACTACCACCTGCTTGGGATCCTATAATCAATAAAATTAAAACTAAACCCAAGCATACCACTGCAAGACCTCAGGACATAGTTCATTTTGCATAGATTGGACCTAAACAATAATTAAAAAAGCTGAAGGTACTCCGGGTTTAACAATGACATCGGGATGTCAGTCATCTCAGTCCCCCATGACCATGGGTGCTGGAAAGCGCCCGAAACGTCGGGAATTAAAAATAAAAGTAAAAGAAAACTTTGTGGATAAACCTGCATGTTTGAGAAATAAAATATTTATATATATTTATTATTAATCAAATGAGAGGCCCATGCTCTGCAGAGGGATTTATTTAAGCTGTAACTTTAACTTTTTAACAGCATAATTAATAAATGAATTCCTTTTAAAAATTTACTTACTAGCACTTCATCAGGTACCCTTTCAAACAGTGGATGTTCCACAAAATGATTGACCATCCATTCATGAAGATCTTTTACATCAGTAATTGTATATACAATTGCCTAAAAACATACACAGTATTTAATATTATTGATATATATAGCAAAGAGGCACTGAACAATTTCAAAGAAAATATTGCTTTTTAATTAAAACAAATTAAGGTAAAGCTCATGTCTGACCAGACATGTCATAAATTAAAATTCTCTTTTGTTCTTGATTGAGAATTTATTTGTTTATTATTATGATATGGATAGGCTGGTAAGACTGTTGTGTATGAGGTCATACTCTAGCCCTATAATATATCATGAGCAAATGAAACATATGAAATTATATTAAAATATTCACTTTGGGTTCTAATTAGCAAGATGAATTTCGGAATCACATAGCCATGACAAACATATTTAGTTTCATTAATTTTTTTTATATATATCTCATCAAATTAAGCTATAACATGATACATAAAAATAAAACATACCCCCTCAGCCAGAACATAGGCATACTCAGACAGCAGCCATTTATTAATAATCCTCCATTTATGCTTAGCTTTTTTAAAATGAGGATCTGGATATAAGAAGAACATTTTCTGTAACTGAAAAGTAAAAAAATAATTTTTATTAAATTAAATTTTTTATTAGTTTATAAATAAATAACTCTCGCATAGAGGAGAAGATTTTGTCACATGTTGGCTTTTTGCATTACTAGACATTTATTGCACACTTCAAACTTGAAGCAGAGATTGGACTTTACCATAGACTTGGTAAGGTTAAGCCAACCGATCTCATTAAATCTGGTTTATCATTATTATACTGCACTAATATGTAAACAAAAGCACACACTTATTAATAAAATGCTTGGATTATGTTGCTCCTCATTTCCAGTCTAGGTAATTTATATCTGGCATTTGTAAAAGGTCACAACTCCATCTGTAGGAAGTCTTAGTAACAAAATATCTTAGTGGAAAAGACAGGAATATTAATAATTTAATCCATTAGATAGAGCCTATAAAAGTCCACTGTTGTACTTAGACCTTCCCCATGGATTGCCTCAGGGAGGGTCGGCAACTGCAGTAAATTTTTTATCTTTAGTCGTTATTAGAAAAACAATGATGCCCCTTTCATGTTGCAGTCTGCACCAAAGGGACAATATAGGGTAGAGTAAATTCTTACACAGCTACTACAGTTTAAAGACAAGGATTATGGATGTTCTAATGTGACCAACACACTTTTCTATTTGTATCTTTAAATCATAAAAAAACATTCATAAAAAATTACACTTCACCTGTCCCTTGTAAAAGAAGTTTGGTAAGTATTTCATAGCATTAGTTCTTAGTACTGCAATATTTTGATACTGTTCTGGATGTTGAATTCTTAACGCCTGTATTTTGTCATTCACATAATCTGATACCTTCACTCTTATTTCCAAACCCAACATCAAATTGTTAGGGAATAATGGAGATAATGTTACTGCAAGCAGATTTTTCCAATGAAACAATAGAAAAAGTAATCCTATTTTTAAGGGATCAAAATTAATTTTCATTTTATATTGATTCATATAGCAAATCTAGCACACACAGCAGTGTGATAGCCAATTATAGAAAAGAAAATATTGATGCAATACTACAGCAATCATAATATATTTATACAAATTTTGATCCCTCTATTACTCAAAAATTGTTAAACCTACTACTACTGTTTTTATTGAGTGCTGACTGAACTGATCGTAAAGCCCTTTAAGGTGACAGAAATTAAAAATCTGGCATTAAAGTAGATTATTGGGAGTATGCAAAGGAAATATACATTCAATGTTGACAAAGTTATAGGTGTGGTGCTTCTGTACATTTTCAAAAACTATACTTGAAACTAACTGCACAAATATTTTTCGAATTAATGTAGAATATTAGTCATTGATATTTATAATTGAGGAATATAAGAGAATTGCATATTTTAAATCATCAGTCATGGCAATTTATTAATATAAAATTCACCATACGCTTGAATATATAAAAAAAATATTGGTCGACCCTGCCATCCCTGGAACTTCCCGCTAATTTAAAACACAAAGTGTTTTAAATCTCGAATTTACATTAAAAAACGATTTTTTCTCCTTCAATATCTCACGAAAGAATGAACCAATTTTTATTTTCCAAATGGTATTCGACAGCATTTTTTGAGGTTAAGAGCTGATTAGTTTTTGAAATCAATCGGTAAAGCCGTTTAAAAGTTATACCAAAAAAAAAGTTTTTCAAGATTTTTATTTTTGAGATTTCTCAAAATCTACTTGTCCAAATGAGTTCATATTATTACCAAATCTATTTCACATTGAGATCTATAGAACGCTGCATCAACAACACGGCATCTCAATCAATCAAGACTTTCAAAAGTTATGAAAGGTTTACATACATACACATACACACACACACATACATACATACATACATCCATACGGATGTCCACGTGAAATCAGTCAGAATAGCTTCCTGGGATCTCAAAATGTCAAGATCTGATGAAAACTCGATTATCGAAAATCGAGTTGAAACAAATAACTTCCCTATATATAATATGTAATATAAAAATTGCGAAAGAGTATGTATATTTAACTTGACCTTCCAAAAAACAAATTATAACAAAGACACATGCTTTCATGCAGAACCTTATCATTGCTATGTAATTGCAATTATGAATATAATTATCTATGCTGCTTTTATGTCAACAACAGTGCCTAAACCTAAATTAACATCATCAAGACTGGGATAGTACCACTCTAAAATATTATTAAAATGTGGTAGTTGTACCCTTGATGCAAAAGGGAACTTTTCATTTTTCAACCAGAAGGTCCTAATGACCATCAATTAAAAGTTTCACTAGAATTTAGAAATATAGAACAAAGAAAGGATAGCCGAAAACAAACCCAGGAGTCCACCATATCCACATCCCACATCTAAAAACTCTACACCTTTTTCTTTCTGCTCTTTGAGCTTAGGATAGAGTGCTGACCAATCGTAATCATCTGGATGAGCTGGACTGAAATGGAAATGTATAAAAATATATTCTTGATAATTTAACAGAGCTGAAACTGCTCTACTAATGCTTGAATCATTTAAAATAAACGTTTTACTAACTAATCAAAGCAGTGATCAGCAATTGGATTAGAATGCGCACGCTGCCTATAATACTTTTTCTGAGGTAAAGACATCTTTTTTAGTTTCTATTCGGTTTCCATCAGAGTTCTATCGAGAGACGAGAGAATAATTGCCCTAAAATGAAACTTCGTTTATATCTAGGATTTCGGTGTGTTTTTTAAAGTACTCAGCTTGTCACGAATTATAAAGGGTATGTTTTCAGTTTATACAAAGGTACTCTGTGGGGTATCATAGATAAATAAATATGTAGCAAGCTAGCAAGCTAGTTGGGTATGTTCCGAAATACAACGCAGTGTACTGTCCAATGCAAATGACGTCATGAATCGACGCTATACTGGTGATTCTTTCCAAAACATTAGACAGAGACAGTATATGACGTCATACTTTTGCGCCATTTGGAAAAGTGTTGGCGATTATTTTGTCATTTTGTGCTCCGAAAATTTTCCGAAAATTTATATCCTCCTAATGGATATACTATCAATTATTCTATAATTTTTTTTATTTGAATAAATAGAAACAAATTCTGGCATGCTTCATTCGGCAAACACACAATTTAAAAAAAAAATATTATGGCCGGATATCCGACACAATATGGCAGTGGCACGCTAGTACATTAAAGTGTCAAATGATGACGTCATTTGCACTGGACAGTACACTGCGTTGTATTTCGGAACATACCCAAAGTTTAGGTTATGTTTACAGCTGGTCAGTGTTGCCAAGTCTAGACTAAAGTTGTTCAAAATGATAAATCAATAGCACGCTACAGACTATAAACTATAAATTAAAGCGCTATTTATAAGAAAGCGTGTAGGAGGCCGGTAAGCGCGTTAAGTTTTGCAGCACATTATATCTCTTAGCACGTTACATTACATGTCGTTCATTGGATAGATCGCGTGCTATATAAGAACATTATTTCGTAATAAGTCGCATTTTAGACTAAAATGAAATAAAGCGGTAAAGAAAAACCAATGCAAGACTTTTCATACTTTTCAGGCTTACTACTTTCTATAATCCTAAAAATATTTTTAAGTCTAGTACTTTTTCAAATAGAATTAATTTTATTTTTAGAATTGAAATAAAATTGATTATTTTTTATTATAATTGATGTAAACATAATTTTAACCTTAATATAAATTATAAATCAAATAAAGGTGTATTTAAAAGTTTATTTATTGTATTTATAAAAATCAATTATTTATATACGCTATTATATACACTTTTGTATCTATATTTTATTTACATTTAAAAACATTAGTTTCTTTTTCCTTCTTTTATCACAACTGTGTCCTTTGATCACTTATAAATATACAGTATACACTAACTAACCAACGTCTAACATTAAATTAGGTCGCGCGCTATGAATAGCGCGCTACGAGATCAAATTTGCGTCACACGTCCTGCACATGCCGCCCAGCCGAGTTGAATCCGACGATTGACCTCTCGATCGAAGTTGGACTTACCTAGTCGAACTATTTGTCCCAGGTAATCGTACTTGTCAACAAGTTCGAGCTTAGTGCTCCCAACAACTACCGGCACAGGTATGACATGGACATTAAACATGATCTTTGTTTTGTCCATGTTCATCTTAAGACCTATCCGTTGGGAGGCATTACTGAGGTCATTAAACATGTGCTTAAGTCCTCCAGCGATTCTGCCATAAAGACTATATCGTCGGCAAATCGAAGGTGAGTGATGTACTTGCCATTGATGTTAATACCGTATCCTTTCCAGTCCAGTAGCTTGAAAACGTCTTCCAATGCAACGGTGAAGAGTTTCGGGGAAATAACGTCACCCTGTCTTACACCTCTCTGCAGTAGATAGGTTAGGGAGGCAGGGATAGGTTTCGTATCTGGTTCTGTACTCGGATAACCATCGTAGCCCTACTGTACAAACACTTCAGCACTTCGATATACCGACAGTCAACTTGGCACCGCTGAAGAGACTGTCATAGTCTACATACGCCAGGCAAAGTGGCAGATTGTACTTTTCGGACTTCTGTACAATTTGCCGAAGGGTATGTATGTGGTTTATGGTACTAAAGACTTTTTCGGAAACCGGCTTGTTCGGGAGGCTGGAAGTCGTCGAGTCTGCGTGCGAGACGATTCGTAATGACTCTCGAAAACAGCACGTAGACGCGGCTCAGAAGGGATATCGGTCTGTAGTTCTTCAAGAGGGCGTTTTCAACTTTCTTGAAGAACAAGACCACCGCACTTCTGCTCCACGCCTCCGGAGTAGTGCCACCATGTAGGACGGAATAAAAGATCCTCTGAAGGACTTCAAGTACCGGTTTTCCACCCAATTTCAGAAGCTAATTCCATCCTCGTCCGGGGACTTGCCGTTTTTAAGGTGCTGGAGGGGGTGCTAAGAATATCCGGTGGAGGTTCGGTTGCCACCTTCGACGACTCGACCTGGCAACATATAACGCACGCACCCTGAGGACTGACGAGAAGATACTGGAGCTGGAAGATGAGGTAGACAAGTTGCGCTGGCATATTATTGGATTATCCGAGGTCCGAAGAGAGGGCAAGGACACGGTAATCCTCGAGTCCGGCAACTTGTTCTATCACCGGGAGGGCGACCGATCCCAAGGAGGTGTCGGATTTATCGTGCACAAGTCTCTCGTCAACAACGTTGTAAAGATTGGGAGTGTGTCGACGAGGGTCGCGTACCTGATACTCAGAATTACCAAACGGTATTCGCTGAAGGCCATTCAGGTTTACGCACCAACCTCGACACATCCCGATGAGGAGGTGGAGGAAATGTATGAGGATATTTCCAGAGCCATGCATTTCTCCAAAACCCACTACACGGTGTTGATGGAAAACTTCAGCTCACCGCTTTCTCTTGTACCTAGTTTTGCGTTGAAGTTAGGGAAATTTGGAGTAGGGCAACGGAATCGTAGGGGCCAGCAGCTGGCCGACTTTATGGAGAAAGAGGGACTCTTTATGATGAACTCTTTCTTCCAGAAGCGGCCCCACAGGAAGTGGACCTGGTCGAGCCCCGATGGTTCGACAAAAAATGAGATTGACTTCATTATGATGACCAGACGCCAACTGTTCAGTGATGTCTCAGTGATCGCAAGGGTGAAAACTGTCAGCGATCACCGAATGGTTAGAGGCACACTGAACCTAAACGTTAAGTTGGAGAGGTCTCGTTTAATGAAGTCAACGCTCCGTCCCCCTCATGCCTTAATTCAGAATCCCGAAACATTTCAGCTCGAGTTACGTAACCGCTTTCAGTGCCTAGAAGATTGCAATGCAGTGGAGGATATGAATGACAAGCTCGTGGAAACTGTCCATAATTTCGGAGCTAAGTTCTGCAAGACCAGCCGCAGAAGAACACAAAGACTCTCCGATCACACACTTAATCTCATGGCTGTTAGACGGGAGATGAGGCTGCAATCGTCAACAGATTTGACAGTATACAGGCAACTGAACAGACAGATCTCCAAATGCATGCGGCAGGACTTACGCAACTTCAATACAGTTCGTATTGAAGAAGCGATTGAGCGGAACCAGGGCTCCAATGTCTTTGCCAGAAATCTGTCTGCCAGTAAGAGCCAACTGTCAAAGCTGAAGACTGAGTGTGGCAGCATCGTTTCCGTGACACCTGAGATTCTGAGTGAGATTGAGAGGTTCTATGGGCAGCTGTACACATCATCGTTGGAGCCACACGCAAGTGTGATTAACGATCCAAAAGCAAGTCTTATCCGACACTATTCCGATGATATCCCGGACGTCAGTCCGAGCGAATTTAGAATGGCTCTCCACCACCTTAAAAGAGAGAATTAAACAGCCAAAAATTGCCCATAATTTCTTCTGAAATAGCCTAAATTGCGACCAGTTGCCAATCGCAATTTTTAGTCGCCCCGACACCCTAGGAGATAAAATGCGAAAAATCAGCTAACTTGGCACCACTGCGGCTCGTAATATTTTTATTTCGGCAATAATTTATTTTATTTATGGCAACCTAACAATTACTGCCAACCTCCAAACGTATCATTAGAGTAAAGAATAAAAGTGAAAATTTTTAAGCCAGGAGCTAAATCTATTTGTTCGATTTATGTTAAAAGTACCCGCAAGTACTTTCATTATTTCTTAACATACCTGAATATGTTAACAAACGTCGAAGGATATGTTTGGAGCTTCCTATATGAGTTAAAGTTTGCATTAAGTGAAAACTGAACTTGTTCGAGTTTTGTTATAATTTGTTAGTGCCAGAATAGTTCATGTGAAATATGATATGCATGGGCTAAATTTTGACGTGCGATATGTTTAAGCGATGTACCAAATTAAGGAATTAACTACGACGTGCTTTGACTTGAAAATAATAAGCGATGTTGTTTTGGGGGGTCCTTGTAGAGCCCGAATCTGTCTGCTGCCTATGACCTAAATGAAGTCAGGAATAGTCGAGCGTTGTAATATTTAACAAGTGTCAATATCTGTTTGCAGGTGGTGATATCTGATAGACCGAATGCTGACAGGTGACTGCCGGCCGCACGAGGACATGCGATGGTCAGAGGTGGCCGTGTCGGCGCGTCTATAAAGTAAGCAGAGGTTGCATCACTCTAGAAGAGTAGTCATATTCATGGTGGTATTGTTACGAGCTTGAGGTTCGTGACAATAAAAATTGCCGATAGAATTACCTAAATTAACACTTTAATTTTTTTTACACTAATTAAAATTTAAAACACCAATAATTTGCATTATTGTGTTATTGCGTCCTTCACGTTGCACTACTGTGTGATTGTGATGGGAAATTATTGTGGTTTGGTCGAGCTGTATTGCTCTAAAAACTTAATCGAAAAAAGTAAGAAAGAAAAAAGAGTGGTTCTTACTGTCATTGCAGGGCTTGTGCCGGTCGGAATAATGATTCCGGTCTAGCATAAAGATGATTAAAGTTTTGTGGAGCTTACTGTCGGATCACACATGATTACCACCAATTTGAGAGGTCATAACAGACCGTATCAGAACGTATTGTTGAATGTGTAAAAGTTTAGGACTGTTGTCAGGATAATCGAACGATGTTTTTCTGTCTACAGTCATCTAAGATT